TATTGCACTTGACGCACTCGAGGGCATGTGTCGATCGCAGCCTGACTACAAGGCGTTCCGTCTTTTTGCCTCAGCTTACTGCAAACTAAATACAGAGCAGCAGGAGAGTTGTGAAGGTCGAAGCTTTGGATACTCTTGCATTTATGTATTTATTATAAAAAGCTCTTTATAAACGGATAAACACTCTCAATGGACAGCGATTAATCAAGAGTTTAGGTGCAGTAACGGATATTGAATGTGCTTCAATAAGAAGGAATCTGTGAAAAGATTCAGTCATAAGCTACTTGGACAACTTCTATGAGTGGCGTGGTACCCTTTGCAAGGGCATAATTACGCCAACTCCAACTCACACTCCACATCCAGATGGAGATTGGCATTTTTGTTTCTTTTATCATTTCTTTATATGTACTTTTTGGCGCAATTACGAATCTGACTGACAATTTGTTCCTTAGGCAGCAGCAGCGCTCTGCTGTGTCTGTGTGTGCTCCCGTGAAGAATTTTCCGCATTTCTTTTTGTTGTTTTTGCCATTTTCGATTGCCGCTGCACGTGATGCAATTTTATATTTATTTTAGCGAATGCTCTGTCAGTTTTTTTGAATGTGGCCAAAATCGGGTCACACTTTGTGCACGTGGTGCACTGCCGCTTGCCAGGCGCTTTTTTGCTCTGCCAGTGGCGATTCGATTTTGATGATTTATGTGCCCAACGTCTGCGTATGCAAATGGAGGAGTAGCACATGGCTGGGGCTCTGGCTCAACCCCCCCTTATCGGGGAGTCGAAAGCTATAAAGATACATCCCGTGCTGGCAGTTCCACTTCACTGTGTGGCCCCCTTAATTGTCAAAACTCTGTGTGCCACTCACTGGCGTTGCCTTTGCTGGTGCGGAGTCTGGGTAGGGGCAATTGCTCGACAACAGCACTTCAGCCTCAAAGGGCCCTAGAAGAACACTGGCGGTGCGGCGTGGAGTGGAGTGGAGTGTTCTCTGGTAGGAAAAAAATGCAGCAAAGTACTTAAGGTAAAGGATTAGTGCTGGTTAAACCTGAACACCAAACTTTCCCACGGCAAAGGAGAGATCTGGGGCAGGGCAGGGCACTAGCAAGGACTGACAGAAAGTGAAAAGTGTTGAGCGAAGTTGGAGTGCTCAAACACGTTAATCTTGATGGCTTCTCCATTTTTTCCATTATTTCTGTAATATTTCACATTAGCATGCAACGAAGGGGAACAAAATACATAGATGAGAGCGCAAAGTCGAGGCAAGGCGAGGCAATTTCTCAAGTCAACTGTCAACACCAATTTCAAGTGCTACTGCCGCAACAGGACCTAATGAGCCAGCCAGCGGTATGCGGCAGCATCCCATTTTGATTATTATCCTGGAACATGTGTTCAAATAGAGACAAAAAGAGGAAGACAGTGTAGCAAAATAAAGTAAATAGATTAGCTGGTCGTGTAATGCGTAAGAATGCTCAAGGATCGACAACATTTTGCCATTCGACACCGGCAGCTAGGAGAGGACGAGTTGTAGTAGCTGTCTGAAGGATCCGTTGCACGGCTACTGCATCTCCATTTCTAATGTGTTTGTTTAGGTGCAAGGATAATAGTTTCTCACGCCTGCCAGGAGCACTACCAGCAGCAGCAACCACTTGAACCCACTCTGACAGTTGCATGTCATAATTTAACAGTTGGAAATGCGTGGCAGGTTGCCAGGATAATCAAATTGCAGCTCCCGATCCTGCTCCCAGTCCTGCTCCCTTGTTTACTTTAGCTGTGGCTTTGCCCCGCTGTCTTCCCTCACATTTTTGTATGTTCCTTGAGATTTCATTGCGCTCTGGGGTTAAGGGAAAATCCTTATTGACATATTTATGCACGGTTCAAGCAACCAAATGGAAATTTTTGGCGTCGCATGGTTCGTTGGCCGTGGCCCTGCCTTGGCTGCGTGGGCGTGGCCGCGTCCTAATGGGCAACACATGTGTCTCTGAGCCCTAGGTGAATGAATTGATGAACACGCCCCTGTCTCAGAGTATTTCGGTGCAGCATGTGGTTGGATGGATACCCAATTTAGTATGGGAATTATCTAAGGAAAATACGTTACATTCGTTGGTGGGGCTGCCAACACCTGTGGCGGCTATCAGTCCTTAGTTGCAGCTTAATTCCTGTAATTAATTGTACATGCCATACAGACAGAGGCAGTGGCAGGGGGCGGATGGTGCAGGGCATTAAGTGAGCATGCAAACGATGCGTCAACGATGGGGCTCAAGACCCGGAGAGGTAACGCTTTTATTTACCCGACAAACACTTGTAATTGTACGCCGGTGTGCGACAGGAAGAGCAGGACAGAGTCACAATTAAAAGCGAAAGGATAAACACAAATAAATGAGCGACACAAAAGGGGGCTGAGGAGGTGACGCCTGCCTGGATGGCAAAGACAAAGGCGATCCCAGGCACAGGCCCAGCCCCAAAGACAACGTTAACAAGAGGAACAGACGGACAGACGGACAAACGGACAAGTGGACTAAGAGAGACGAACGGACAGACAGAAGGATGGCATTAAATAATTGCTCATACACGAGAGGAGTGCTACGCACAAAAGCAGTTTAGAGCAGAGACACCAGAGCAGGAACAACTGAGGCAAAAAATTGTCCAGCACGTGCCTCTGTCGCACTTTCTCCCTCTCTACTGTCTCTCTCTCTCTCTCTCTCTGACTCGCTCTTTATGCCGTTGCCTGTCGTCTCTTCTTTTGTGTCTTGGTGTGTGAAAACTAGTTAACAGCTTTTATTTACTTGGCAAACAGACTGAACCGTTGTAAAACAACAAATACTTAAGCCGCAGGATATAAGCATAACAGCAAACACACACACACTGACACAGGGGTGGAGTGGACACTCACAATGAAAAGCCTGGCCAAAATACTCACATTGTCCACGGCCCGGACACCAGTCGGGTCACGGGTCAGCGCTGGATGAGATGCCGTCCCTCTGTGTTGCACAGAATAAAGATGATGATGGGGGAGTGGGAGTGGCACGCAAACGTGGAACTGACTACTGGCCGGTTTTGCAATCCCTTTTGGACATTTCATAACCAAAGTGAAAAGTTGGAAAACAATAACAGGCAACGATGCACAGGAGTCGTGTTCCGGCAGGACACACACACACACACAGACACAGAGCCAGCCAGACACAAAGAGGGCGAGACGATCTCGAAGTTTATGAACTTTATTTAAGAGTATGTAGAACAGCAATGGCAGACCGGGAGGCTCTCTCCACTGCTAACACACAATGGCCAAGATGAGCCAGGACTCCGTGTGGCACGTGGTGCTTGTACGCCACAAATGATATGCCTTCATTGGGCCGAAACAATGTAAGAACCAAATGCAACAGCAGCAACATCACGCTGATGACGAAAACAGCCAGCAAAGGAGCAGAATGAATGGATAGCTCTGAGTTACTCTTGCACAAATCTGTTGGAATATCGCAGGCGGCAGGCGGCAGGCGGTACAGAGATGAGCACAGGAAATGCTTGCTTTTTTCCGTGTGGCAAACATCTTTTCAATTTCCATGTAGAAAGGTTTTAAAATTGCCAACCAATGGAAGCAAACTCTCAAGCAAACAAACGAACGATGCAAACGAAGCGCTTTCAACTAATGACGTGGCAGCCCTTAAAATGAATTCACAATTTTGCTTGCAACAGCAAGGCAGACAGACAGACAGACAATAGACAGAAGTAGCAGCAACAAGTGAGGGCAGGCAGGCCCTAGGTTCGAGCATTTTTGCCCTAAATTGTGCGGAAAATTCAATAACGACCTCGATGACAAGCTCAAGACCAGGCCCAGGCAAATGTCACACAAGCCCCGAGAACAAACAAGAGTGCGGAGAGGCAAATGCATGTTGTACAAGAGACAAACGTCACACAACAAAAGCCTCCTTAATGACAATAATAACAGATTTTAGTAAGCCACAAAAGAAAACGTCAGGAGTCGGGAATTTACGGAAACAGGCCGGTTAATGGCTTGTGTGTGGCAGGAAGTGTGCAGATGGGACATTCTCAAGCCTTTGGAGTGGACATTCTTGTTGCAGTCACTATCAATGAAAATTAATTAAGTTGAACAGTTGAACACAGGCAGTCAAAAGTTTGTCCACCGCAGCACCAAGAGCTGGCCGAGAGGAACCTGATCCTGTTAATGACAGGCAGAGACCGTGTCATAGGGCAAGCCACAAGCTAAAAGCCATTCTGCTCTTAATTCAAAGTTAATTGCGGCATCTACTCGTAGTTTTGTGGCAAGCAAAGGGCTTCCAATCATCCGTTCAGTTTGGAACTCCAACTCTCAGGCCTCTCCCTGCCGCTGTATGGGGCCAAAAAAGAATTGATTTTCAGTTCGGTTGCACGCCGTGCATTTATTTATAGTTTTGGACTGCCTTTTTACCCCATCCACGATCCGCGATGGATGCTTCATTTCTATGTGGCGTACAGTACATAAAAACGCATAAATATTCTATTTTGAGTTGACATTTTGACAAGTGAATATGAATATTGCAGGCACAGCGCACGATTTGTAATTGTTGTGCTTAAATAATGGCCACTGCCATTTTGTAAATGCATTTAATGAAAACAACGATTAAGCACTTTCGTAATGGTTGCTCATTTGCTCTCATTTCATAATATTTCAATAATAAGGTGTGATAACAAGATGCCCAAGATGCCCTCTCGGAAGAGTTCTTCATTGTGTGACCCAAGTTATGGCATTGCTTTTAATGAGAGGATAATTGTTAGTTAGTTGGATAATTGTGTAACGATTAAAGAGCCGCTAAGCCTTGGGACAGAGAGTGATTTGTATCCCATTATTCAACTACAAATAACTAATGTCAGAGTCTGCATACCCATCAACCACAGAGCACTCCAGTGGCGCAGATGATTATTTTTGCACCAAATATTTGTGAATATTTTTGGAATTTGCTTTACACTTCAGTTCAGCACCTGTGCACTAAGCATACAAAAATTGTGTGTATTAAAGCAATAACAGTTTAAAATTGCACATTCGAGAGCCCCAATGGACAGCATGGAGGAGAACCAGCAGTTGGATGAGTCTCGGCGGAGCAGAAACCGGGAAATAAGAGCAAGCGTGGACACCTTGGTGCACCTCAGACGGAGCACGGAGCTCATCATGGACAGTGTCATACTGAATCTGGATGCACTGAACAGAGCGCTGGACCATCTGGAGGAGCGCACAGACCGCGTTCTTGCCCAGCTGCGGCAGTTCATGCAGTCCATTGAGGATCTGGATGAGTCGAATGCGGCACGCTGGCATGGCGGCTACGGCGATCCAGATGCCGCAATTTAGGCAGCCAGCCCACCAACTCGACTGCAAATTGAACTGTTATTGAAAATACAAATTCAACAACATCGAATGAAATCTTTGCGGGGGCACAAAGACACAGCAAAGCGTGAGGGAGACAAGCGGGGGGAGCCGACACAGCAGAAGATCCATAAAAATGCTCGACAGTTTGTTTGCTTTTTGTGTGGATTGTAACCCTAGCATACAGATAATTAGTGAGCTATTTTTATGGATCGCATCGCAACGGATCGGGTTAGAGTGGAAGATACAGCCTCCGCTGCTGCGCATGCGCATGGATGCTGCAGGTGCTGGGGGTCTTCTTCCATAATTGTAATTAGAATTTACTTTCTGAAGCACTGCCTCATAAAAGATCCCTGTACGAGCCTGTACGAGTATTTGTTGTTCTTGGCGCACATGTTGCCTTTGAATATTTGAAAATTTCAACGTGCACTTAATCACTTGAGATGCCATACTGAGGGGGGTCCTTTGCCGCTTGCCTCTGCTCTGGCCTCAGTGGGATTACATCTCCTATCTGGCCACTCGCATCTGACTAAAGATGAATCGAAAAATATGCCACAACATGGCTGTGGCGTCCCGACACTCGACTGCGTTTAATTAACAATTAATAATATTTTAATTTGCGCTGGCGATTGGCGCTGCCGTTGCCGTTGGCGTTGGCGTTGGCCGTTGACAGCAGCGAATATTATGTTAATGACAGTCGGGTAGATGGGAATTGGATAATGCCCACAGATCCCAGCCATTTGCCCTGGTAATTCTTCATTAATCAGCAGCAATCATTTCGCGGAAAAGGCAGAGCGAGGGGAACATCCGGATAAAATCGAGCGACACCGAACCTAATTGCAAGTTATGAATATCTCATCGAATATTAAATCGCTTAACTACCAGCAGCCATGGATGGATGGATGAACGATGATGATGATGATGATGATAATGATGATGATGGTCTGTGTGGCTGACTGTTTGGCCCTGGGCGGAAGTGGCGACACTTAATTGTGTATTGAGTGCGTTTTCAATTTTATTGAGCTGTGTGCCACGGCCGCCTGCTCTGTCGCACTATGAAGTATTGCGGTTTGCTCATTAAAATCTGTGTCTCCCTCTCTGTCTGTGTGTGTGTGTGTGTGTGTGTGTAGCTCTGCAGGAAAGTATGCTATGGAAATGTGTGTGAGTGTGGAGGCAGAACTGCCATTGAGCAGCACATGTCGAACGCACCAGGCAGAACGCACCTCTGTAACTGCCAAAACTCATCAACTCATTATCTTGGCCAATTATCACGTAATATTCGAGGCTACAAGTTCATTCCGCCGCATACTTTCTTATCAGTTGGTCACATGCAAAAATATTTCCATACATGCCCCGCACTATCTACAAGCAGACAGTCTTAGAGAACCATTCAATCGCATCGGTCGCACAAAATGGCAACAGAAAGCGGCATCTCCTGCCTTCACATTGTGGCACTGCTGACCTTCTTGGGTTATCGCACTTTGGCCCTGGTCTATGAGGAGTGTGAGAGTGCGCCACAGCTGGGCGTCTATGTGGCCAGCTCCAGCAATTGCTCCAAGTACATTTACTGCGCCGGAGCGGGCTCCTTCGAGGCCGAGTGCCTGGGTGAGCACTACTACGACGATGTCCTCGAACGCTGTGTGGATCGTGCTCTGGTGAAGAGATGTCAGGCCAAGGCATTGGATTTGCAGGCCAACACAACCGAGTCGCCCGGGAATCGCGATCGCGAAAATCTTGCGGATTTGGCAGCCAACACAACGATTTCCGCACTGGAGCAGCTGCCCCTGGCCATAACTCTGCGATTGCTGCACAATGCTGGACCCTGCTATCCGTACATGGTCTGCTACGAGGGTGCAGGCCTCACCAAGACCTGCACGCCCGCTCAGCTGGTGTCCTGCGCTCAGCGACAGCCGGCCCGAACCATACGCAGCTGCCTCACTGGTGTCTACGGCTTCATGCCGCATCCGCGCAACTGCGCTTACTTCTACTACTGCTCCAACGGCTACAAGGTCATCCATCGCTGTCCCCTGAACTACACCTGGAACTACGAGCGGCGCTCCTGTGTGCAGAGATCACAGCAAAAGTGCTACAGCCAGGGACTTAGACTGCGAAAGCAGATCAAGGCGGAGTGAAAATAGTGAAATTTGAAAGTAGATTTAATTTAAGTTTAAAGTTTAAAGTTAGTATAAATAGCTAAACGCTAAAATTAAAGAGCTGCACAATGGGGCAACACTGACAGTTTGCCCATGTAAATGCTTGTCCCTGCCCCAGCTCTACCCTCACTCACTTCCAGTAGAACAGATGGGCGCTGCGCACATCGAAGTGGTAGAAGCGCAGCAGCATGTAATCCTGCCACTTGGTGGGCAAAAGTCTGCCAAAAGAAGGAAAACGAAAGGGGAAACGAACATGTAATCGCTGAACACTTGCTGCTGAATTAATTCAATCGATTACCGGAGCAGCCACACGCTGAGTGCAAAGATTTTTGGCACATAAACCATGCGCTCATTCAGCAGCACGCCCTTCACAATCTTCTCCGCCACATAGGGTGTGGGCAGGCCAGGATAACTGGTCGCAATACTATGGAGAAAGAAAGAGCCAATCTTGAGTTTGGTGTTTGCTGTGGAGGGAGTGGCACTTACCCGGCATCGCTGAGCAGCGGCAGGTCACCGCTGGTGCGCATCAGATAGGCATTCGCCACTGTGGTGCGGACATAGTCGCAGTCGGAGAGACGCAGCTCGGCGCGCAGGGCCTCCATGAAGCCCTCAATGCCGTATTTGGTGGCCGTATAAATGCCAGCGCCGGGCAGGGGAACCAGACCTGCAAAAGCCAATAAAGGTTAACAGCGAGGAGGCAACACAGACAGCAGGAGAACTCACCCGCGAGGGCATTCACTGCCACCAGATGGCCAGACTTGCGTGTTATCATCTTGGGCAGAAACTCCTTTGTGGTCTGCAAGCAAACATTCAGGATTAGACACCGCGGATAGACAACGGCTAGCCACACACCCACCATAATGTAGGAGCCCAAATTCAGCTGCAGAATCGTATCGATCTCATCGCTCTTCAGCGATGGGGTTGAGGTCATGGGCATCAGGGAGGCATTGTTCACCAGAATATCGACTGGGCCGAGTTCCTTCTCCACCTTGGCGGCCATCAGCTGCAGCTCACGCGGCGACGAGACATCGTTCTGCAATGGCAAACTCAAGCAATCAGTTCAATCAGTCCAGGGTTTCAATTGATGAAACCCACCTTGTAGGCCTTGGCCACACATCTGGGTATCTTGCTGAGCAGCTCCACAGTCTCGTAGCAGCCCTTCGAGTTGACATCGACGACGGCCACCTTGCAGCCGCGGCGGGCCAGCTCCATGCAGATCTCGCGTCCCAGGCCGCTGCCCCCACCAGTCACCTGTGGCAGATGTAAACGCATTTAACTCTAATTATACTCGTACCGTACAGATTAATTAGCTTAATTTGCAAACAATCAACTCGGGCTGATGCGGCTTCGCATTGAACAAAACAATCTCCATTTAATGTCAATTATGTGAACGACAAATACAGCACAGAGTGACTTGAGAGTATTACTCATGCGAGCACTATGTACCGCTCGACGGGCATACAATTGAGTGACTTTTGACCGTAATTAAAGCGAACTGTGACCTCAGCTAAACGTTGGGGGTGCGACACACAGCACAGCAGCACTCATAGGTTTTGGCACGTTCGTGAACATATTTGGAGCGAAAAATAAAACTAGAAGATAGCTCGGATCATATGACAATGTTTAGTACATGTTTATGGCAGTGCTGCTAAGGCGTAAACTTGCACTGAAATATGATAGATTGTAGCAGACATACCCTCCTAAAAAAATGATTGAAAAACACAAAACAAAACACAAACAGCACCTGGCAAGGCAGCTCCGATGCGCAATTGTGTTGTGTGTTTGGTTGGTTATACTATGCCCAAAGAATTTCAATATCATATGCAAATTAACAACATCATCAATAGACTTAGACCCTCTATCAGTATCTGTATCTGAGTATCACGCATCTGAGAGATACGCCGGAACGAGTATCACTCGCTGCTGCTGCTGCTGCTGGCTGTTGTTTACATGCGGGTTCGTTGGAAACGTCATCAATTGGGTTTGGAATTGAAAATAAAAGTGAAGTTCCTGAGGCTTGCAGTTTTCGTCTTGGTATAAATAGCGCGACCAAAACCAGTTGTGCGGTTAGACAGTGGCGTACCCAAGAGGGGGTACTCTCACAGCTAGCCAAATAATACTCACAAAAAAACAATGAAGTTCAACAAAAGCAATCTTTGAGTGTTCATCTTCTAATTGGGTTGTTTCTCACAGTTAAGAAAGCGTGTAGCTGCCCCACGCCCCTGTCTGTATCTGTATCTGCGAGCAAAAAGCAAGCTGCAATGACTCATAAATACTCTACGTTAGGCTTCGATTTTGTTTATGGCCAGCACACGCCCACACACACACTCGCCACACAAAAGCTGGCAGACACGAATGGAATGCTAATGGCATCTTTATTTACTTGAAAACTCGATCAGGTTCTTTATCACATTTATGGCGAGATGGCAGCTTCTCCAGTTACCCGCACACTTGACCTTGCACGAGTGCGAGTGCGAGGGCGACCCCCCAATTGACTTTTCATAATGATTTCGATCGAGACCAAAGTAATGCCGTCTGCCCATGTGTAATATGTGATTAATAGACCGCGATACGATGCCACAAAGTGTTTCGAAATTCAATTAGAGATATTCTTAGATGTATGGAAAATACAATGCGCTTTGGTTTACACGGAATATGATGTCAGAGCCGTTGACCATAGAGAACCTTTTATAAGAAGAACAACAAAAAGAATCCACAAACATAAACAGTTGGCCAAGCACCAGACGCGTAAACATTGACTCAAATAACATGGAGCCAAGAGCCAAGGCAACCGATCGTGCCGCACCCATATCAGATAACTTGGAGACATCCAAAGTGTGGTGGAAAGGTGGGTGGAAGCAGCCACTGGAAAAGGAAAGTGCGTGACGTTTAATATAGGGTTGGCTGGCTGCAGGCTGGCTGGAGTTCATGCTCGTATCTGAAGCTGCACTTAAAATAGAGGCACTTACCAGCGCCACCTTGCCGCTCACATCCTTCTCCTTGAGGCCCAGAGCAAACAGATAGTCCAGCAAATGCTTCAGGCCCACAGCGAGTAGTATCAGCGGCAGCAGCAGCAGGAATATGATGATTTTTAGGTTAAAGATGGCTCGGGTCGTCTCATCGTTGCGACGCGCCTGCGAGGCTGCCTGGGTAGCCGTAGCCGTGGCCGTGGGCGTGGCCGAGGATGAGGATGAGGGCACTGTGGCAGGTCCAGCCGGTACGGCGATGGTCGTACGCGTCACAGTCGTGGTGGTAGCCGTTTCTACCATTTTTAAACACTCAGTTGCACTTGACAAAGTTATTCAATTACACTTTTTTTACAGCCAAAAAACAAGCTGGAACCCACACACGGATATTTTTCACGGTCACAAAACAAATATGGCACAGCTTGTGGGGGGGATCTGTATTTTGCTTACTCCCATGCGACGTGCCAGCGGAGAGAAGATCGGACAATACACGGAGCAGCACCAACACGACAACGAAAACGACAACGACAACGCCAACGCCAAAGCCAACAACCGAATGCGAACGCCAAAGTGCGCCGCCTCGACGCTGACGCTGGCTGGCTGGGCTGGCCCGTTGTCAAGCTTTCGACTCTTTCTCCCACGAGTGAAGATCGCTTTTGGCTCGAGTTGAGAGCAGCACCGTTTGCTTGATATCTGGTTTTTGGATCTACTACGAACTGCACATTCGAGTGGACAGTGTGGGCTGCCGAGAGTTTTGTTTGTTGCTTTGAGTGGAAGTCGCATGGAGTGGAGTTTGCTGCTGCAGTCTTGTGGGTTTCACCTGACTTTCTGTTTTGTTTTCGAGTCTTACACACAGTGGGTAAGTCAGATAAAAGATGAGTGTAGGCTTATATCTGGCCCTTTATCTGTGTTTCTCATTGTAAACTTGAGCAAGAAGCTGAGCAAGTGCCTCCCATCTACGCATCTTTATAGCTTTGCTACCAGGAAGTTGCAATATTATTATGATAAGACAACTTTTCTTATGATTAAATGTCTGCTTAATCATCCACTGAATCACCAAAGTTTCATGGAAATCTTAGCTCTTTTCAGTTAATCTTCTGTTTATTTTCTGATCACTTAAAAACATAAATATCAGTTCTTGTACTGCATGTAAAAAGCTTTCTAAAAGGCACAGATTCAATGTATTAATCCTCCCGGTAGAACTTTGAAAATTGTCCTAAAATCAGCCACTGACACCCACTGTATCAAAACTTTCCAACTGTCAACATTTTGCCAGCAGCCAATCGAAACAAAACTCAAATATTTAATTGGTTAACTGAGGTGAGTGCATCGCCAAACACGAGACTCCCGCTCTCTCTCTCTCTCTCTCTCGTTCGCTCTCTCCTCTGTCTTTGGGTCTGCGAGCGCTTGCTTCGCTTCGACCCATTTTCATGGAACCAAACTGGTAAGGTGTCCGCCGAGGTTATTGTAAGTGAAAAAGGAAAGGCACCCCCAAATGGAAGCCCATACATCCGCTATGCCTGCCTTATGGTCATGGCTAAGGAGGCAACGGCAAAAGCAGCCCGTTACCATTTGAACATACTATCATGTGCCCTGCCCTAGGTCAATGAACAGCAGCAGAAACATCAGCAACAACATTTGGTGGGCTGTCTGTGGCGTAAACATTCAGTTGCCGCATGTGGCAAAAGCTAGAGTCGCCTGCAGCTGCGGCATAGTGTCAACATCTGTTGTTTTTTTTCTGCATCTTTTTTGCAGCCTCACGCACATGTGCAACTTTGGCGTGGGCAAAATGCAACGCATGCGCTATTTAACGTGGCTCTTTTTTGAATAAGCATAGAACTAAAACCAAAGATGCACAGATACGAGCATGCGTATAAATAAAATGTGCAGCAGAACGATTTGCAGCCTGGCTGAGGCCTGGTCTGCGCAGAGCAATGACCGCACACACAAGCCACACATGTCACAGAGCCATAGCATGCGCGATGATGATTACGTATGATGATGTACAGTACGATCTCAATATTGATGTACCACACGCTTGCCCAGAGCGTCAGGAAACATCAGGCAGGGGTCTGGCCTCGCGTAGGATGATTAGAATGATTGATGCTCGCTTGTAAGCTGAGAAAACCTGTACCCATGGTTTTAAGCACATAATTTATACAAAATTATTACACCCTAAACTCTTTCATTTGCATAGTTACCGACATCAAATAGTTCTACTTAAAACATTTTTAATTCACATTGGTGGATCTTCTACCCAAATATTTGTACACGTTATGCATAAATCATTCCTGCGTGTTAATATAAATCTAGACATTTGCACAGCACTTTTAATCCTATTAGCAATAATCTTACTATTTTTTCTCTGTATCACTTTTACTCTTCACGAAAGTGCAGAGTTTTTTTTTAACTTAAGCAGTTGTGGTTACGCGAATCACTTTGTTTTGTACTTATAATTAAAAAGCAGCTTATCCGCTTGGACCATTGTCAGACTTTCATTAGCCAGGCAGCAGGTCATGGCAGATCAAAGGCACGTTCTGGAATTTAATAGAAATATCAATTAAAGTGTCTATCAATGCGGGATGTGCGACCAAAACTTACTTTTCAGCTCCAACAAATTGTGGGCATAGCTGCGCAGATGTGGCTTGGTCGGACTGCGCAGCACTTGGGCAGCCGACTCCTTGATCATGCCCTCGATGTTCTGCAAAAGCCATTCCTTTTTGGGGCACGTTATGGCCAGGCGGTATTCGCCGTCTGGGGTGCGCGACACCTGCCAATCGATGGGCAGTGGCTGCTCCGTGTCATGGCTGGCATTGCTCTTGGTTTCATCCTTTACATCGCGCTTGTACGACACGGTGCGACGACGTGCCTTCGCCGGCTTCACATCGGCCTCCTCCTCAACGTCCGATGGGGCCAACGATTTTCGCTTCCTGACATTTGCGTGGCGTTCGTCTTGAGCGCAATCCCGCTTTGGACACGTGCAGATTTTCACAGCCATAACATGCTGTGCCAGAATATCACCACTGCAAAAGAGAGAGCATGAATGTTGGATCTTTGCTCGCGACAGCTCACCCACCTGGAGTTCTCTAGGCAAAAGAGCAAGCTGGTTTCCTTCCTGCCCAGGCACGAGTTCTGGCAGACAAACTTAAAGGCGAGCGTCTGGCGTACGTAGCCGCCGTGGCGACTACTCGAACGGGACAAATTCAACGGCACCAGCACCGAATATCTTTCCGATATGCCCTTGCCCTGGGCCGAGCCACAGTACGTGGTGCTTGGGTTCTCGCAACGCACCAAACTCTCGCGCATATTCTGATTCTGATTGGTAACTGCAAGGAAATGGAAGTTAGAATTGCACTATGGATCATCCTCAGAGTTGCCCACTCACCTGGCTCTGTGCTCAAGTGATTCTGACAGCGCAGCACCGCACCGCTGACGTCTTTATTGAAGCAAAGAAAGACGCGCAGATTGAGCGGCTGTATGGGCATTAACGCCTTGAACTGCACATCAATATTGAATGTCTTGTTCATGCGTATATAGAGCTTGTTCGCTATATGCGAGTACACCCAGTGCGACTTGGGCGGCTCCTTCAGCACCATGCTGAAATTGTAGCCGCCAATGTTGTGGCTTTCCAGCTTGGGCAAACTGTTGCTTTGGTTCTGAAAGTCCTGCAGCATCATCTCGCGCAGCACCGATTGCTAGAAAAGAGAATAAGACAGGCAATTAATGGGAGAAAAGATCAGGCAAACAGCTGCACGGATCACACTTTGCGTTCGTAGAGCTGATAGAGCTTCATGTTGTTGCTACTGGATGACAGGTATCGACTCGACTGAGGGCAGCACGTCCGTCAATTAGTTTCGTTCTAGTCTTTCGCAACTCTATGCAACTTTTTTGCTGTAATCCTATTTTTCACACGGATCGGCCCTCACACATGCAGCACACACTTTGTGTTCTGTATCGCTCTTATGAAATTGCTGCATGCACAATCGTGTCTGCCAGCTGAGTCACACGGTGAATGTCGGGCAGAGTTGCCCCACCGTTCCTGAGCGAAAGTTCAGTTGATTTTCAACCACCAAACATTAAGCAACTGCCTCGCGATGCCTCCCAGATAGTGTCCCAGAAGATGGCATCAGCTCGATAGTGGAAAAACAATTAAGCAGCCATTAAGCTGTAATATTCGGTGAACGCTTGGACTAGTCTCTCTTTGGCGCTGCAACAGAATGACATCTGCAATAGATGTTACGCACAGGCGCATGGTGAAAATACTAACAATTTTACTGATAGTGTTCATGACAGTCTTTGGACTGCTGGCCAATCGGTATGACAGCCGCAGCCGACAACGTTTCAAGCTCTCAAAGGCATATCTGGCGTATGCCATGCTGTGGGCCATTACCTTTACTGGCATCTATGGGCATCAGATATACCAGGACTATGTGCAGGGACAGCTCAACCTGCGGGATGCTGTGAGTCTGTATGGCTACATGAACATCACAGTGGCTGTCATCAACTACGCCACACAAATGATAATGAACGACGCTGTGGCGAGAACAATGAGTCGAGTGCCACTGCTTGAGACCCTCAACATGTTCCATTTGGACAACGCATCGCTCCTTCTATCGATTGGCGTGGCCATGTTCAAGGCGGTCGGCTTTCCCCTCATACTGGAGACGGCCTTCATACTGCAGCAGCGGCGACTGGAGCCGGAGTCGAGTTTGATTTGGACAGTGTACCGTCTGCTGCCGCTGATAATTTCAAATCTGCTGAACAACTGCTACTTTGGAGCCATGATTGTGGTCAAGGAGATCTTAAAAGCAATCAATGTGAGATTGGAATCGCAGCGCCAGCAGGTGAATCTGATGCAGCGGGAGGATCAGCTGAAGCTCAACACTCCGTTTTATCGCATGCAGAAGTTTTGCGCATTTGCGGACGAACTGGACAAGCTGGCTGGCCGATACATGGTGATCTACGTACATTGCGACAAGTACTTGTCGCTCATGTCTCTGTCGATCATTCTCTCGTTGATCTGTCATCTACTCGGCATGACAGTGGGCTTTTACAGTCAGTACTATGCCCTGGCGGACACATTCATTGCGGGCAAGCCGTACGATGGCCTGGGAGCGCTCATTAATCTCGTCTTTCTGCTCATATCCTTCACTGAGATTAACATGCTGGCACAGCTGTGCGACAACCTGCTCGTGGCAACCAGGAGAACAGTCATCATACTGCAGGAGGTGAACTTGAAGCATGCCGACTGCCGGTATCGACAGGCTGTCCACAGTTTCACCCTCCTCGTGACCGTCTCCAAGTTCCAGATAAAGCCAATGGGTCTGTACGAGCTGGACTTGCAGCTGCTCGCTAATGTGTTTTCCACCGTCTTTAGCTTCTTGCTGATACTCGTCCAGGCCGACTTGTCGCATCGCTTCAGAATGTACTAGG